CCACCCCATTTACTTCCCTTCACTTTGGCTGGAACTAGAGCAACTCAGTATGGTCAATACTAATCTATCATGGTAACTAGCAAGAATGTATGTCATTGGTTAAGTAAACAGAAGGACAATCACTGAGACTTAAATCATTCAGGACTTAAGTCACTGAAGCATTTTGAAGCCAGATATGCACGAAGGTAAATGAGAAATGGGTCTTCAGTGGTACAAAACTCAAGAGCCGTTGGTCCTCATTTTCTTTCTGATCCTAGGAGTCTTCTCTAGAAATCCTGGTCCAATCTCCTTATCTCCCTCTCAGAGAAGAACCTAAACAAATAGCCTTGAGCATCCATTGATTTAGGCAACACTGAGAAAACAAGAGGGCTGGTATCCACAGCCTGTGGCATGCGATTCCAGGCCCTTCATAGCTTAGAAGTCACATCTCTTTTGTTCCATCTTTCTTTACTCCTTTTTTTCAGTCGGTCTAAAGTATTCTTTCTGAATTTGATGGCTAATGAAATGTTAGACATCATTCAAAGTCCTGCTGAAAAAGACCACGTCCTCTCTATAGTTTCTCCTGCTCTCTCTTGCTGTACAAACCTAGGGCACTTGGCTTGTGTTAGAGCAGTTTCCAGACTTTGGGCTTCATGGGCCTGGTGTCTGGGAACATGGTTTTACATGGGCAAAGATGTGGAAGTGAAGTGTGTGGTAAGCCAGTTGTTTCCACTTCAGTCTTTCTGATTATACCGAGAAGGTCTCCTGTTGGTGCTCCTATGACTTTACACCTTTTTGCCACTTACCAGTTTCTCATTTTGAAATAACGGCAGGGGACAGAGCAGGCCTCAGGCCCAGAGTGGTTGTAGGTAGCTAGAATTTAATAGCACTCATTTAATTACATGGTTTTTATTTCGGTTCATCTTCTGATTTTTGCCAGTAATATGGGTTTTCTGTTTATAAAAATGTTATAATATTAAAATAGGAGCTTATGGGAGCAAGGAAAATGAGTTGATGGACAAAAAGGATTAAATAATAGAAATTTTCTGCAGCTGAGGCAAGTGTCGTGGAAGTCATACACAGTGACCAAAATTTAACTGAAATGAATTCTGTAGGAGGATAATTGATTTTGCATCCTCTTCTCTCAAGTCTAGGAGGGCAGAGGTTATGTCTCATTCATCTGAGGTCTTCTAGGTAGGAGCTGGCAAGGTACCTTCTGTAGGTCAGATCTGTTTCACTGCCTGGTTTTGTGTGGCCCACCAGCTGGGAACAGCTCTTACATTTTTCGCCAAGGTTGAAAACAATTGAAAGAATAATATTTTGTGACACATGAAAATTATATGAAATTCAAATATAAGTTCTACTGTAAATACAGCTACTTCCATTTATTTATGTAGGTCTATGACTGCTTTCATGCTACAAGGGCAGAGTTGAGCATTTGTGACAAAGATGGCACAGCCCACATGCCTAACGTGTTTACTGTCTGGCCCTTTGTAGAAAAAGTTCACAAACCCCTGGACTCAGGAGGCCTGACGTGGGCCCCTGGCATTTTTACTTAGTCCCCAGGTGACCTTGGGCACACCAAATCCCTTCTCCCACCTTCCGGTCTCCATTTATTATGAATGGAGCTAATGATACTACCTACCTCTTAGGACCATTGTGAGGACTGGAAGCATGTGAATCTGCTTCATAAGCATGAAAGCATTATAAAAATGAGATATTTTGATTTCCCTCAATAGTTCTAGCTTTTGTCACAGACAGTGTGCATTCATATATACCCATTCCAGTTCCTCATGCTTTCTAGTGGAATCTGGAAGTCTTTCTAAGCTAAGGAGGGATTATTTGATTGTATTTTTTTGCTTCTAACATTTATTATCTGGTTATTTACCACCATTTCAGGTGCTTTTTTTCTTCCCCTCTCTCACTGGTAACTGAGAAGCACTCTCTTTCCTCTTTCTTTTGAACTTCTTCATCTTGACCTTGGTAATCAACTCTACTACAAACCCAGGATTCTTCCTCCAGACCAAATTGTGCTTAAGAAAATACTATCAGATCTGAAGCAAGAAAGTATTTTTCCTTAGTCTTGTCCTAGATCTGCTGTGTGCTCTAAGAATACTTTCTTTTTTTCTGACTATGCCATGTAGCATGCAGGATCTTAGTTCCCCAACCAGGGGTCAAACCCACGCCACTGCCAGTAAAGTCATTGAGGACATTTTTAACTTCTCTTTGCCTTTTCACATAGAATTTGCTCAGGCAGCGATATTTGCATGAAATTTTGTGTGTGTGTATGTAAGAGATAGTATTTGAATGAAAGATGCTGTAAGAAATTATTTGGCCTTTATTGAGCATTTACTATGTGCTGGGTGCATGCTAAAGGATTTTATAATCATTGTCTCATTTAATCCTCTCCATAGTATCAAGAGAAGATAACATGATTATTCCTACTTAATAAACTGGGACTGAGGTTGAAGTCACTTGCCCACTATCTCCTAGCAAGAGAGAGATGGTACTGGGAATTGTGTCTGTGTCTGGTTACTCTAGAGCTGATAGGCTTAACAGTAACAATATACATTTAATCCTTGAACAGGAAGGTTAGGGGAGCTGACCCTTTGCACAGTTTGAAAATCTGTGTAACGCCGGTAAGAATGGTTGCTATTCAAAAGTTTATAAGCAATAAATGCTAGAGAGGGTGTGGAGAAAAGGGAACTCATATATATGGAATTTAGAAAGATGGTAATGATAACCCTATATGCAAGACAGAAAAAGAGACACAGATGTATAGAACAGACTTTTGGACTCTATGGGAGAAGGCGAGGGTGGGATGATCTGAGAGAAGAGCATCGAAACATGTATATCATCAAGTGTGAAACAGATCACCAGTCCAGCTTGGATGCAAGAGACAAGTGCTCAGGGCTGGAGCACTGGGATGACCCAGAGGGATGGGATGGGGAGGGAGGTGGGAGGGGGGGTTCAGGATGTGGAACGCATGTAAATTCATGGCTGATTCATGTCAATGTATGGCAAAAACCATTACAATATTGTAATGTAATTAGCCTCCAATTAATAAAAATAAATGAAGAAAAAAAAGAAAATCTGTGTAAATTATATATAGCTCATCATCTACCAGTTTCCTTTGTTCCATATTTTTCCATATTGGTGGATTCAACCAATCCTGGATTGTGTGGTACTGCAGTCCTTGGAGAACAAAGTCTAAACCCACTATCTTCCAATGTGCCTGGAAGTCACATAATAAAATCTCTATCAGTATTTCTTTACTGAATGAATTAACAGTATATGGAAATATTCCCCCTCTCCTTTGCTCCCTGGGCTTCCCAGTGGTAGAGAATCTGCCTGCAAGGCAGGAGACGTGGGTTTGATCTCTGGTTCTGGAAGATCCCCAGGAGAAGGAAATGGCAACCCACTCTAGTATTCTTGCCTGGAGAATTCCATGGACAGAGGAGACTGGCGGTCAGTCTGTGGGATCTTGAAAGAGTCAGACATGACTGAGCACACAGACAGGTAGTATTTATTATTAAAAAAGTCTGCATATTAGTGGACCCATGCAATTCAAGGTCGACTGTACAGCTACCCTTGCCCAGCAAGCACCCTCTGAGCCCCTCTTGGTGCTCTGACATCATGCACTTAGCCCACTCCAGTCCTCATGAATTGCATTGCAGTTGCCTATGTAGTTAGAGTCAGTCTCCCCAACAAGCCAGAAGCCTGAGGAAGGCAGGGACCTCACTTTCTTCTTTGCTGTATCAGGCAAAGGACTCAAAGGAGTGGGCATCTGCAAATGTTAATCAAATAGATGAATAAGTAAATGAGTATAGTGAGCATTTATATTGCTCAAAGCATTCACCTAGAATCTAAGAGAAAGGAAGATGATGCAGTCATATTTCTTTTCAGCTGCAGATTCCTCTGTTGCTAGGGAAGCCTTGGGAAAACAAAGGAAAAAGGAAGTTAGCCTCAGTTTTCATTTCAGCTGGAAAAAACAAGGCAACAAGATGTATTATTTAATTTAAGAAAGGAGGAAAAAGTTGCATGTCATGTATTTCTTTCCCACTAATCCAGTATTTCTTCAGTTTTAGTGTTTTGTATCCTAGCTTTATGATTGCTGCCATATCGGGGAACCAGCTATATTATTTACTTAATATTTAAAAAAAATCAGTTCCCTTTAAAAAGCATATATATATTTATTTTAAAAGGATCTTTATATACTACGATAAATGGGAAGCCATTACCACTTGCTTTAAGAAGTAGGCGATGTGGAAGTAAATATAACAAAAATAGAAAAAGTAATTACATTCTTGCAGATATTGTTGCCTAAGGGACCTCGGCCAAGGCCTGCTTTTTTTGTTGAAAAGGATGATTAAGAGGTGGCAGAAGAGTGTTAGAAAGACACACTGGTACCAAACAGAGACTTTCTTCTTCATAATGAGAAGGTTTTAAGGAGAGTTGGAAAGGAAATAACTTTTTCACAAAGTGACTCAATGTGATTTAATGTTGTGTCCGCGTCTTGCCCAAAATCATCTCCTGTACCGCACAAAGCGGGTGTTGCACTGATTGGAAAATGCTGAGTCAGTGAAAGGAAGGCTTCTGTCTCCTTGGGTGTGATATCTCAGACAATCCTACTAAAAGCTGTTTTCCTAAAGAAACAGGATGGTTTATTCCTTCCTATCTCCACTTATAGCTTTGTTCCCAAGAGAAGGGAGAGGAGAAAGGCAAGCTTACCAATGGCTGGGACACTTCCACCCAGGGCCATCTGTGCTCCAAGTCTTCTGCCCACCCTACACCCCCCCCCGCCCCCCCACCCCAAGGCCACACTAGATGGCCTGGAAATGAGTAGCAACCCTAGGACATCAAGGGGCCTGGAAACCTCTGCAAACAAAGCAGATCCACTTCAAGTCACCTCATCAGCCAGAACATTTTATTCTAGTGAAATCTCTCTCCTGCCCCAATTCACTCACTGCAAAAACCAACATAATTTATCTTCTGGAAGGAAGGGTGCAGACTTCAGCCTGTTTTTTTTTTTTTTTTTGGCTAAAGTAACAGCTCAGCCTGTCACTTGAAGGAAAAGGGGGAAAAAAAAGCTTAGAGAAGGGTGCCAAATTGCAAGTTTGGAAATAAAAATCAACATGGGAATCATCTCAAAGGTTGAGGAGATTGCCTTATTGCTCTTGAGAGATAGGAAAGAAGGTTTCCATATCAATGTTTTGCTTGTCCTATTTTGTTTGTAATCAGACTTTAAGAAATGTTGTGAGTCTTAGGATCAGGGGATCTTGGAATTCCTTGCGCTCCCTTAGAGGGAGGGAGGGAATTAATATTTGCTGAGGACCTGTGTACTCGCAGGGTACAGCCCCTCTCCCCCTGCCATTGTCAACCCCACTGATAACCCAAGAGGTGGAGGAAGGTCAGCCATGATTCACAGGTCAGGAACACTTGCCCCAAGTTCATACAGCCTCTAAATAGCAGAGCGAGTACTGAACTGCATTGTCCTGATCCTGAAATCTATGCGGTTTGAACTGATGCCCTCCAAGAATCATGGGAATGGAACCTAAGATTTGGCCCCAGCCAGGCCACCCCTGGGAGGCATTTCAGGGTTGGTTGCAAGACTTAATTACAAGTCCAGTCATGGGGCTGGGGGTCCATGAGACCTGGATTCTCAGAATGATCATGTACCCAGTGTGTTCCTTCGGCAAGTTTCCTAACTGAACAGGTTTTTTGCTTTAAGATTCCTCTCCTTTTATAATTGAAGTTTGCCATGAGCCTGACATATGATGAAAAATGAAGAGGCTGTTTGTAAAGAAGCTTGGGACCATGAGGCAGTGCAAGGGGATGGTGAGGAATGACCCACGGCTGGACTTGCCTGGGTGTGAATCCTGTCCATGTGGTCCATGTGGCTTCTGAACTTGTGACCTGTGACAAATTACCTAACTTTACTGCTGGAGGAAGAGGGTGAAAATACTCACCTCACAGGGTTGTTGTAAGGATTGAACTTTACATCTATTACTCACTGAGAACAGAGCTTGACATAGAATTCAATAAAAACTACTCCTGCTGTGCCTTATATTCTTATTTTTATTACCGGTAATGTGGGCTGTCAAATGTGTAGAGGGGGAACTTCAAGGGCTGGCAGAGAGGGATGAATCCGCAAGACTTCCTGGAGGAGGAAGTCTTTAACTTCCTGGTCAGAGACGGGGAATTTCTAGACAAAGGGAAGAATGCAGGCAGGTGCTAGAAACCAGCAGTCCTGGGGAGAGTAAGGTGCGTTAGGGAGGCGTCTGCCTCTGAAATGCTTAGCTGCTGAACGTATTTTTTTTTCTCTCCCCTGAATCCCACATGTGTGTGTGGTGGGTGCCTTTTTGTTTGGCTCGGTCAGAACCAGGCTCTCACTGACCCCATTTTGGGGGAGAGGGGGAGAAAGAAGAGAACAGGGTCTTCTCATTTAGTCAGGCCTGGGTTTAAATCCTGTCTCTGCTCTGCACAGAGGTACTTAGGGCTAAATTATGTAACCTCCTTGAGTTTCAGTTTTCTCACTTGTAGGGATATTGAGAAATGACTGAAAGGAGGAGATTCCTTTTTCTCCCTCTCCATCCCCCTACGCCTCTCCCTCCGGTCCCCACCCCTCCGTCTCACCTCTCTCCACTCACTTTGTGGGAGAAGGAATCTCTTGCGGGGCTCCAGTGCTACTTCCCATGAATGCACTTGTTGCCAACTCTGGTAGGGCACCACGCAGACGGAGCCATGGGAGAAAACTGTAGACACCTTTGAAAGAAAGTGGAGGAGAATGCATAGAAGTGAAATAGTCCTCAGTAGCTCTTTAATTAATGTGGGTTGCAAACAGGTAGACTTGTGAGAGTTTTGTTTTGCTGTGCTTTTTTGTTACACCTTTCCAGGGTTTTAGTCAAGTGGCAGTGTAAACAGCTTAGCACCATTGCCATCTGCCCACTCATTAAATAAATAAATGTGTGTGTGTGTGTGTGTGTGTGTGTGTGTATAGGCTTCTCTGGTAGCTCAGCAGTAAAGAATCTGCCTGCCAATGTAGTAGATGCAGGTTCTTTCCCTGGGTCAGGAAGATCCCCTGGAGAAGGAAATGACAGCCCACTCCAGTATTCTTGCCTGGAGAATTCCATGGACTGAGGGCCTTAGTGGGTCATAGTCCATGAGGTCACAAAGATTTGGCCAGCACTTAGCAACTAAAGAACAATAGAGATACAGGTATAGATATAGATACAGATATAGATGTAAACTGCTTCCACCCAATCATTTACCTTTGTGAACCCTGATCTGGCTTGTCCCTTTCTTCTTAGAGACGAGGAAGCTGAGGTCAAGAGAGCAGAAGTGATTTGCTCAAGGTCACACAGTGGCTGGGCTAGACCACCTGGGTCTCGAAACTGAGCTCTCTTTTTGGCACAGGGAATGGTATCTAAAGGAGGAAATGCTTAGCAGGAAAAAGGGAGTTTGTCTCGTGGATGAGGTCGAGTTTTCATACATTGTTTTGATTGTTTAGTCCGCAATAAGTGCTCCTCCCAGGATCCTGCAGATTGGATGTTTCTCACCTTCCTTTTAGGGTTGGTGAAAAAGAGAAACACAAAAAACCAAAAAGTGATCCCAGCCCTGAATTTCCCTGAGAACCTGCGTCTTCGGCTCCCCAGCCTCTGTGCAGGGCCCCTCCTGTGGGCAGGTTTTTAAGCATGATGAATTGCTGTGGTCAGCGCAGCAGCACGCCCTGCCTGGGGGAGCCTGTGCTCGGCTCTGTGGCCAGCCTGCATCTCTCCAGCAGGACAGCCTGCTGCATGCGTCCCCGCTAGGCACTGTCACCGCTGCTGCGTTCCCTCCATCCCAGCAGAGGCATCGCAAATCACCGGAAGGGACGTGTCCACCCCCTGGCCTGGCAGAGCGGAGAGAGGAGGTGGGTGTTGCAGAGTCGGGAGAGATTGCTTCTGGTCACCTGGGGCTTGAATCACCTCCCACTGGACTGGTTAGGTTTTGCAGTATTTCTTGTAGGAATGGACTCGACTGGAGGTTGTGCTATAAAAGTGTCCCATAGACACAGCCAACACTTTGCTATTCATTTGGGTCTTTCAGGAAGCATTTGTTGAAACCCTAGTGCTCTGCTGCATGCAGTGGGGGATACAGAATTGAAAGCCCAGGCTGACCTTCTGTACTTGTGTGCTGGTTGAGGAGCATGTTCACAAGTCAATAATGTTATAAGCCTGTGGGAGAGACATGAATGTTTATTGACTGCCTGCTGTATGCCAGATGTTGGTGTCTTATGGTTGTAGATCACTGGTCAGTGAGCTCAAGGGGTCTGGAAGAAGGGAAAATGTCAGTGAAATGTGAAATTTCATTGTCCCAGCAGCAACTGATACTCATTCATCACCTGCATGGGGTCAAACACGTGATCTGGAACCTTGTTATCACCCTGTGAGTGAGGGACAGTTGTCCTTCCACTTCACTCATGGACCTAGAAAGAACCATATGCCCTCCTGGGTCACCCGCTGCTAAGTGATGGGGCTCAGGTCAAGTCACATGTCTCTTTGACTCCAAGGTCTCAATCCCCAAAGACACGACTCTTTTGGTGGGAACTGACTTTGAATGGTAGGCAAATCACGGAGGAAATGATCTCAGTGATTGAGCCTCTGCAGAAGTTGCCACTTTCCTAAATGTGTCAGGCTTCTTTCCTCTTCCAGAGACAAAAGAAAACAGGTAGTACTAATAAAACCCTCTATATGCCCCCTGGGCCTTCAGGCTGCCCCGTTGTTCAGAGCAAGAACATTGACTTCTCCATCATTAAAGTTGTTTTTGTGAGGAACAAGCAAGAATTGATTCCATCTTCCCAAGCACATGTTCTCCCTTTGCCCTGTGATGGCCCAACTTTCCCCCGCCACAACCCCATAACCTGCATGACTTCAGGTGTTACCTGACTTTATTGAGACTCAATTTCTTTATAAACTGGGGTGATGTTAGCTACCTTTAAAGGTGTTGTGAGATTGAATAAGATAATACCAAGTTCCTAGAGTAAGAGCTCAATCTAGTTAACTTTTTTTTTAAAGATTTATTTATTTTGACTGTGCTGGATCTTCGCTGCTGTGTGTGGGCTTTCTCTGGTTGTGTAGGGGCTACTCTCTGGTTGTGGTGTGTGGGGCTTCTCATCGTAGTAGCTCCGTTTCTTGCAGAGCAACGAAGGACTCTGGGGCGCATGGACTTCAGTAGTTGCGGTGCACAGGCTTAGCTGCTCCGGGGCACGTGGGGTCTTCCTGGACCATGGATCAAACCCAAGTCCTCTGCACTGGCAGGCAGATTCTTATCCACTAGATCATGATGGAAACCCACAGTTAGCTTTTCTTAATTATTATTCTGTACTTTATATTTTGTCTTAATTTCGGAATTTTGGTCACTGTACTAGATGCTTACTTCACCCCTTCTCTGTCCCCGCCAGCACTCCAAGTTACTTTTCACCACACAGAATCTAAATATCAGGCCTGAAATAAGGTTTGATGCAAAAATGGATGAATGTCTAAAGAGATATTTTCATTATTTATATGGGGCAATGGTGAGCAGCCCCTCCTGCTTTAGTAAACTATATTATTTGCTTGTTCATTTTTTCATTCTTATCCACCCACTTACCTTTTCCTACTAGGACTCATTTCCTACTAGGGATGAGTAACTGTGCCTAGAATTTATATATATGTATATATTTTAATTGGAGCTGTTTAAAAGTACATGTAGTAAGGAATGATATAACAAACTTAACACCCAGTTTTAGCAGTTATTGACATTTTGTTAATCTTGTTCTGACTATCGCTCTCCTTTTCTGAAAAGCATTTTAAAGTAAATGCCAGAATCATGTCATTTTAGCTGTAAATTCTTCCTAACTAGCTTAACTGATAATGACTTAAAATATTATGGTTAGTAGTAATTACAATAACCCCTTAATATCATCTATAACCAGTCACATTTAAATTTCCTGGATTGTTTCAAAGCTGCCCTTGAATAGTTTATTGTTGATATCACCTTGGCCTGTTTGAGAAATTGGGTTCTTTTGTTGATCACATATTGAGAACTTAGTTGACTACTTCTTTCTAGTGTTATTTAAGTTGTTCTTTTAGTCCCAGTATTTCCTATAAAGTGGTATTAGGTCTAGAATGTGATTATATTCAGACTCAATATTTTAGATTAGATGACCTTATAGGCAGATATGGTGAATGGGTTCTTTCTTTTCTACCACATCCCAGGCATGTAATGTCAAGTTGTCCTAAGCTCCATGATGTCAGCCTGGTTCCCACCATGACAACTTTTCACCTAGTGGGTTTCATATGCTGACGATCTTGTCTAGATCATCTTCTCATTAGTAGTTAAAAGATGGCGACTTTCTAATTCTTTCATCCTTTCAGGCCCTGTTTTTTAATGCATTTTCTATCCTATTTTTTTTTTTAATATAGTATCCAGCAACTTTCAAATGTGGACCTGTATGGGGGTCCCCAGTAGTTTAGAGTTGGGCTAGCTATGTAAAAATCGGTGGGGATCTTTATAAAAATACAGATTCTAGGGTCCATCTAGTTCCAGCTGTGGTTTTTCCAGTAGTCATGTATAGATGTGAGAGCTGGACTATAAAGAAAGCTGAGTGCCAAAGAACTGATGCTTTTGATCTGTGGTGTTAGAGAAGACTCTTGAGAGTCCCTTGGACTGCAAGGAGATCCAACCAGTCTATCCTAAAGGAAATCAGTCCTGAATATTCATTGGAGGAACTGATGCTGAAGCTGAAACTCCAATACTTTGACCACCTGATACGAAGAACTGACTTACTAGAAAAGACCCTGATGCTGGGAAGGATTGAAAGCGGGAGGAGAAGGGGATGACAAAGGATGAGATGGTTAGATGGCAGCACTGACTCAATGGACATGAGTTTGAGTAAGCTCCGGGAGTTGGTGATGGACAGGGAAGCCTGGTGTGCTGCAGTCCACAGGGTCACAAAGAGTCAGTCACGACTGAGAAACTGAACTGAACTGAGGAGTCCACTCTTGGGGTTTCTGCCTTAAAAGATCTGGAGAAGGACCAGGAAGTGTTCTTAGTTTTTATTAGAAACCAAGTTGCTGAAAAGTAGCCAGTTGAGGAGAGGGAAGCTCTTAAATGCATCACTGCTTAACATTGTGAAGGACCATGTTTGCCACCATGTATTCATGTCCTTGTTTGATGGGACACCAGACTGGGGACAGACATCAAGGGTGACAGAGGCTGAAATGAACTTGGGATATTCCAGGTTTACTGTGGCTCCTCATGCTGCCCTTCACTTGGGATTTATGGAGTGCTTTCCTTTGTTGATCCTGGTCTCCCTCATTGCATGAGCCTCAGAAACTTCAAATTGCATTAATATGCTATTCCTTTGTGCCTCTCCCCTGTCTAGATCTAATTAGTCTGAGCTATTGGGACTTGAACATGATGACAGAGGATTTTCTAGGATTATTCTCAACATGTGACATTCAATTACCACTCCCTAGGAGGCTGGGGTTAGCCAGGCAGGGAACCAGTAGGGATGAATAGGATTTCCAGAGAAGATTGGCAGGAGCCTCCATTTCTGGATGGACTCTATAGAGATGTGCTTCCTGAACTTTAGTGCATGCTTGTTAAAAATCCCATCCTGGAACCACATACCTGACCGTAAGTTTTAGTAGGTCTGGGGTGGAACCCAGCCTTTACAGTTTTTAATAAACTCAGATGATTTTGGGGACTTCCCAGGTGGCACAGTGGTAAAGAATCCACCTGCCAATGCAGGGGACATGGGTTTGATCCCTGGGTTGGGAGGATCACTTGAAGTAGGAAATTACAACCTACTCCACTATTCTTGCCTGGAAAATTCCACAGAAGGAGGAGCCTGGTGGGCAAAAGTCCATGGGGTTGCAGAGTCGGACATGACTGAGCAACTGGGTGTGTGCGCACATGTGTGTACATATACACAGGTGATTTTGGTGTGTGAGAGTCAGGGACCTTGGAGAATCAC